GATGACTCTAACCTGTTCATTGTATATAATCTTCCTGATGCCTTGCTGCATTCTATTTGCTAGAATTTTATTCAATATTTAGGCATGTATATTCATGAGAGAAATTCACCTGTAATTCACTTTTTTTGGTTGAATCTCTCATTGCTCTTGGTGTCACAGCAATACTTGCCTCCAGGAATGAATATTGCTTACTTTTCAATTTCAGTGAAGAGTTTGAGGCATATTGGGATTAATTTTCCCTAAATTTACTCCTAAATTTATTATAGACCTGGTTAGGTAGTGCATAGCAACTGGGGTTCGATCCCTGACATATCATGCTGGCCCCACCCCTGGGGCATACTAAGATGGTGATTGATACTGGGTGTGATGGTGCATGCCAGTAATCCCAGCGCTTGGGAGGCTGAAAACAGGATACTCACTACAAGTCCGTTCTATGTGGTGAGACCCTGTAGACCCTGTACTAAATACATAAATTAAAATTAATTTATTGTAGAATTCAGCTGTGAATCTATCAGGACCTGGGCTTTTCTTTATAAGTTTTTTTATTACATTTTCAATTTCATTAGTTGATATTGGGTTATTCAGAGTTTTTGTATCTTCTTGATTCAGTTTTGGTAATTTGTACCTATTTTGGAATCTTTCCATTTCTTCTATGTCTTTGATCCTGTGAGAGTAAAGGTTTTCAAACTAACTGTTGATACACATTTCCCTCTGAAAACTGCTTTCATTGCATCCCACAAATTCCTGTAATTTGTGTTTGAATTTTCATTTGATTGTAAATATTGTTTAATTTCATATGTAACCCATAGGTTGTTGATGAGAGTGTTTTTTTAATTTCCATATGTTCCTGGGGTTTTTGTGGTTTCTTTTGTTGTTAATTTCTAGTTTGATTGCACCGTGGTCAGATAATATGCATGGGATAATTTATGTTTTCTTGCATTTACTTAAGCATGATCTATGGAGTAGTTTGTAGTCTATTTTAGAGAATATCCAATGTGCAGCTCAAAAGAATGTGTATACAAATATTTTTCAGTGTAAATCTCCATTCAGTGCATTTGTTCAATGGTGTAGTTCAGTTTTGCTATGTCTTTGCTAATTTTTTGTCTGCTTGACCTATCTTTTTGAGATAATGGATGTTAAGGTTCCTTCTTAAATTCTATTATTCATTTTTAATGTGTTTTGAAATTTATCTTATATAGTTGAGTGCTCCAATAGGTGGTGAATACATATTTATGACCATTAGCTCTTCTTTTTGAAGTTTTACCCTAACAAGTATGTAGTGAATTTTTCTATATCATTTGAAAATTCTTGAAGTTCAGATTGTCTGTAAACAGAATTGCTACCCCTGCCTTATTCTGAGCTCCTGGAGCATGTAGTATTGTTTTCCATCCTTTGACTTTCAGCCTTTAATTTTTTTTAGTTTAAATATGTTTTCTGTGTATAGAATATTGTTGGATTTTGTTTCCTAATCCACTCAGCCAATGTATTTCCTTTAATTGATGAATTGAGTCTACTTACATTGGTTGTTATTTTTGTAGAACTATTGGAACCACAAGAAGGACAGCAAAGCTGGATGAAATCAGCAACAGGGGTCACAGATGTCTTGTCTCTCTGAGCCCTGAACTGAGCATGCACAGCATATTTATTGAGAAACTTATAAAATATCAATCATTGGCAAAGGTCAGTGTACAAGAATTCCACTAAATCACGAGATCCTGATCATTCACTTATTAGTTATCCTTAAACTTTAAGATACACAAGATTTCCTCCTCTGGTTTCTTGAGACAGTTCTGAGAAAACAGCTGTGATTGTTCTGTTCTGACAGTTTGCTGCCAGGTGAACATCCTCTTCTTTGTTTTCCCTGAAATTCGTCCTCAGAGATCTTATCATGAATCATGTAGCAGGTTATAATTGATGTATATTGGCTTATGTTTTTCATGTTATTTTCATGATGTTGGTTCCGTACTTTTCCATGTTTCTAATTGTTTACCTTGTGTGGTGAGTTTTTTCTGTTGTTCTTTGAGTTGTGGTCATTTTGATCCCTTTCATGAATATCTTTTAGTACTCTGTGTAGAGGTGGTTTCATCATCATGAATTTCTTTAGTTGTTCTTTATCATGGAAATATTTTATTTCTCCATTAATTTTGAAAGATATTTTAGTATGGTATATCAGTCTGGGTTGGAATTTTTTTTTTTTTTTTTTGGAGGGCTTGGAATACTTCGCTACGTGCTGTCCTTGACTTAATGGTTTGTGCTAAGAAATCTGCTGTCATTCTGATAGGTTTACCTTTAAATGTGAGTTGTTTTTTCTATGTAGCATTTTTATTATGTTCTTGTGCTGAATTTCCGGGATCTTGATTATTATATGTCTGAGTGGAGATTTAATTGGATTGATATTATTTGGAGTTCTGTATGCCTCAGTTACCTCAATGTCAGATTGTTTCCCCATATTTGAGAAGTTTTCTCCTATTTATATTCTTTTTATGGGGGCCCAGCCCTAGCTCAGTTCTTTAAGTGGCTGCTTCCACAATGCTGGCAGCCTCAGTTTGCTGTAGTTCGATCCCTACAACACTCCAGCCATGCAAAAGTGCCCTGAAGGCATTCAAGGAGCAAAACACACACAAAAAAAATTCCTTATATTCTTTTTATATTGTTCATGTTACTTCCTTCTTTCTCTTTAATGCCTATTAGTCTCATGTTGTTCATTTTGCATTGACTTGCAGCTGTTGAATTGTTATTTTCTGGATCCATCTTGTTTTTAAGAGATCTTTCCTTACCTATTTACTAGCTGCAATGCTGTCTTCATTGTGTAAAAGTCTTATCTTCATTTTCACTGAGACAGTTTTGCCAGCTTTTCATGGAGTTTTTAATTTCCTGTATAGCTCTTTGAATCTGTTTCATGCATTCTATGTTTCCTATGTTGTTCATTCAAGGTTTCCATCATTTCTCTACTCTGCTGTATTTTTTATCAATGTCTTCTTTAAAAACACTTAGTAATTCTTTCAGTGTAAAGTTTTTATTTATTTATTTTTTTTTATGTATTTAGTACAAGGTCTGCAGGGTCTCACTACACAGATTGGACTTATAGTGATCTTCCTGTTTTTAGCCTCCCAAGATCTGAGATTACAGACACACACCACTATACCCAGCCTCATTGGCAGTCTCAGTGTGGCCTGGGGTGTGGGCTAGCACAGCATACCGGGGTTTGAACCTTGGTCCCTGTGCTTCCTAAGCAGGGACTTTAGTCTGCTGAGCTATCTGGGCTGCCTTTTTCATTGTAGTTATCTTGTTTTTTTTTAATCTGTGAGATTATTTCTGATCTGATTTCCTCTATACCATTCTGCAGTTGTTCCTTTACTTCAGTTGCTATTATTTTAGAGATTTCAGGTATATGACTTGCATTTTTTTCTATACTGATGTCTGCTGGGTTTGTTTTCCAGGTGAGTTCAGTGCCTGAGATTGCATTTTGCTTCTCCTTTTTGTCATTTTCTATTTCAGAGAGGACTATTTATTTTTATTTCTGTGACATTTTTTGTGAAAATTTGATAGTACTTAGCTGTGTCACTGCAAACAGAGCCTCTCTATAAAGGGTCTATTCGTTAGGTAACTCTCCTGTGTCAGGCATTATTATTTTGTGTGTGTCTCAAGATTTTGCCTTTTCTGTTGATTGAGAGTGGGGTATTAGTTTCTCTTTGGCATTGTCCTCTGTCCTTCAATATAGGGCTTTGGCGAGGTAATTACCCAACCACCTCCCAATATTTTTAGGTAAGGGAGAACATGTGGTTAAGGCAGATACAGCATCCTATTTACAGTAGTACAATTAGCAATATTAATAGCAGCTAGTGAAATTTAGAAATTGACAAAGTTTTTTTAACTGATTGTTTTGTACTTTAAAGCATAGGAACAAATATTATAGCTATATGAAAAAGCAGATCATAAATTGGGAATTTGTATTTAAATTAGTTCCCCTGATTTCTGTCTGTGTACCTCCCTTTCATGTACCTGGAGTCTTCCAGGCAGACTAGTTAACCCAAGTTACCTCCTGCCACCTGTGTGCTGCAAAGATCCTCCCCGTTAGTCTGGGTCTCACTCTGGGCCCTGTTGGGCCTTCCTGTATGTCTCAACTCACCATGCCTAGTTCTACAAAACTCGAACTCAACTGGCTGGGACTGGCTGCTGGGCTCATGTCTCAATCTATTAAAAGAAGCAAATTCTGTCTTCTGCAGAAGCATGGATGGACACAGAGACATTACACTAAGTGAAATAAATTAACAACAGAAGAAAATTTTTTTCACTCATACATGAAACCTAAAACAGTAAAATACATGAAAATAAATGTTGGTTATCTGGGTATGTAGGAGTTGGTTAGAGGAGAAAATAATGTTCAAAAGGATACAACATTTCAGTTAGGTGGGATGAATAGGTTTTAAGACTTAAAGTATATTATGGTGACTACAGTTAATTATAGTGAAGTGTATATTCAAACTTTACTGAGGGACTATGTCTTCAGTGTTCTTACTCAAAAGTAGTAACTGTGTAAGGGATATATTAATTAGAGTAACGATAGTTACTAAGAGACAGGGAAAGGAGGACAATCAAGGAAGAATTATTTGACAAATATCACAGTAGGTGTCTAGAAGTTAATTCTTGAAGGAGTCACTGGCAAATGGTATAAACACATGCCACAGAGTCATTTTACCCAAGGAATAGAGAACCTAGGGTATGCATATAGGTTCTTCTAGGGTATGTATATACCAGTTCTTCTCAAGGGTATAATTGGGGTATTATTGAGGGCTTTCCTGGGGCATTAATTCTTTGGCACTTCATCCTGCCAGGAATTTAATAAGAGTAGGCTTCTGAAAAAGTCCTTAGGCATAGGGTGCAGGTATTGAGAGCTGGAGGTCATCCTGGGCATGAAGAGTCCATGGGCAGGAGAGTGACAGATTGCCACAATAAGGTAGAGGTGAGATTTGACAGTGCTCTTTCTCTTCTCTCTCCAGGCTTCTTAATGACCTTGTCCATGTTGTCCATTGTTTATGGAGCCTTGCGCTGCAACATTCTAGCCATCAAAATCAAGTACGATGAGTATGAAGTCAAAGTGAAGCCACTGGCCTATGTCTGCATTTTCCTCTGGAGGAGCTTTGAGATTGCCACTCGAGTCATCGTCCTGGTCCTCTTTACCTCCATCATGAAGACCTGGGTGGTGGTTGTCATTCTTGTCAACTTCGTCAGCTTCTTCTTGTATCCCTGGATCCTCTTCTGGTGTAGTGACTCTCCATTTCCTGAGAACATAGAGAAGGCCCTCAGTCGGGTGGGCACTGCCATTGTGTTGTGCTTCCTTACTTTACTCTATGCTGGTATCAACATGTTCTGCTGGTCAGCTGTACAGCTGAAAATCAACAATCCTGACCTCATCAGCAAGTCCCATAACTGGTACCAGCTACTGACGTACTATATGACAAGGTTCGTTGAAAATGCCATCCTCCTGCTCCTGTGGTATCTTTTCAAGACTGACATCTACATGTATGTGTGTGCACCTCTGTTGATTCTGCAGCTTCTCATTGGGTACTGCACAGCTATTCTATTCATGCTTGTGTTCTACCAGTTCTTTCACCCTTGCAAAAGGCTTTTCTCCTCCAGTGTTTCTGAAAGCTTTCAGGCATTCATTAGGTGTCTCTGCTGCACCTGCAGGTGGCAGAGTACCTCTGAGTCAGTAGGAAAGGCAAACTTAACATCTTCCAGAGACCAAGATGAGACACCTTCTACCAGTAAAATAAGTCCTGATCCCACTCAGATGAGTGCTAATGATCTGTGCTCTGTTTAATATGACCTGAGGTCTCTCAGGGCACAACCATGGTGTTTTCTGAGTTGATACCTGTTCTTCATACATATAAGGAGCCCTGCACAGGGACAAAGGCAGAAAGTTGGCTGTCAACTCCTTGTGAGCTGCTGCTGTATTATTGAGTTGTTGGGTATGTGGGAACTATGAGGAGAAGCCAGGAATACCTGCATGTTGAAGGGGCAGCCTAATGCACGATAGTTCAGAGGTGACCATGTTATGTTCTTACAGGCCTTACTGGTTGGTTCACTGACAAAAGTACCCCTAAAGTTTGAATTGGGCTGTTTACATCTATCAGGTAGAATGAGGAAAGGGGACTGTTTTTCAGTTTTCTGGATTGTTGGTCTGGGTAGCCTGATGATTTATTACCCCCAACCAGGTTTTCACCCAAGAGTCATCCTGATGATCAGAGAAGCTGACTGGGATTTTGCCATCAGCAACATCATTCTTATCTTATAGTGAAGGCTGTTCAAGTTTGGTTTTTGAATAGAGATGTGTTCCATTTTCATCTCATTAAGGATATTTGTACATAACCAACAGTAGCCTCCATGGCATATTCTCTGTAATTGATTCAAGAGACTAGATTTGGCATCTTTATTCCGTAGCATCCATAGCTGCAAAATTGAGTTCTAAATTTGGGTATAGAAGCCCTAGAATTTTAGGAAAAATGTTTCCTTCCATATGTTGAAGAAATTTTTGAATTTTAGAAAGAGCAAGATGTTGCTAAAATATCAAATTAATGGAGGGTTGTATAAGTAGAATTCTTACCTTCTCAGAATCTTTGAATGTTTAAAGGTAGTAATCTGCTGCAAAGTAGGCTTCAACCTACTTAAGATTCAGTTGTGTCCTACAGTTCTGGTGAAATTATAATACAATTTTCTAGGATTTGAATTTTCAGTACAAAAAAGAAAAAAAAACATAGCCTTCACACCCACCTCCCTCTCCTTTGCCTATCAGAAATATTTTAGATGAGTTATCTCAGTTAAATTTTTCTGGGAAATCCTGTGGAAGTCTCTCACCCCATGTAGGTTTATAGGGTATTTAATTTTCACTATTTGAAAAGAAAATGCTTTTCTCACCATCAACTCTAATTAGTGATTGATATTAGAAGTTTTTGAATTTTAGAAAGAGCTGAAATGACCAGGTTTTTGTTTTTCATGGCATGCATTTTGATTTTACATAACTGTGAATTAATTTGAACCAAGTCTACAGTTTTATTCTCCTATACCACTTTATTATCTGTATGATTTTTCCTTAGCTCTGAAATTCTATTTGTTTCATTAAAGAAGAGAGAGTATTGTAGCATATCCTCAATTAGAAAGTGCCTGGAACCCATACTATTTATTTCTACCACTGAAATCTTGTTAATGAAATACCTGGAAACAAAGAACCATAAAGAATATACTAATTTACCGTGAGTACTATAGTAAAATCTGACAAATTTACAAAGAGAACTCCATTTATAGACTTTACTAGATGGAACTGGGGTCCCCTTCTCTGACTTTATGGCCCTACAAAATATTTATTTGACAATCACAATTCTGCTAACTTTCCTTTATAATTGTGTTTTCAAATTAATAAGTAATTTCATAAACATGAATGAAGACACAACTTGGTCATCAATTTCCATTTCATTCAGGGATCTATGGGTAAAATAGTAAATATTCTTCCACAAATCATTCATGTTATTTAATATTTTAATGCTATTCTATAGATATATATCAGTTCTGTCTTAAACTATAGAAACTCAAATTTTGTTTTATGAGAAGATTTTCCTTGCTGGAAATTGTCTTCGTTTGTCAATATTTGTGGTTTAATTTTGTAAGAATGCCCAGACAATAGATCTTTTTGTCTATTTTTAATGAAGTGAGATAAAACTCAGGATTGTCCATGTTTTTCCACTGAGGTCATCAATGACCATTTACCCAGTTGTTTTTTTTTTAATGTATTTAGTGCAGGGTCTATAGGGTCTTACTACATAGATAGGACTCGTAGTGATTCTCATGTTTTCAGCCTTGCTAGCGTTGGGATTACAGGCACGCACCACAACGCCCAGTGTCAATTGCGGTCTCAGTGTGCCCCGGGGGCGGGGCTGGCATGGCACACTGGGGATCTAACCCTGGCCCCTGCACTCTGCCTAAGCAGGCGCTTTAATCCCCTGAGCTATTTGGCCAGCTGTTACCCAGTTTTTCATAGACCTAAATAAACAGCAAGCATACATAAGATAATTCACACAATGTACATTTCCATGTACATTTTATGAGCATAGAAACACAATTGTAGCACAGTAAAATAACTTTGAAAATATATAACAACTGTAGGTAAAATAGTTATAAGATAGTAAGACACCCTTTTTGGTTATTTCCTAATTAACAGAAGATTTCTATAATAACTAGCAGAGAAGTAAGACCATTCTTAATCCACTTCTGTGTTTCTTTAGATGAGTTCATTGTGTTGACATCAGATATTTACACTTTCTGTTATGTGAAAGACAGTCCTGCCGTGAAACTTTTCAGTGCCTGATGACAGGGACAATTGTGCCCCATTTCTGTCGGAAATGCCTTCAGGTTATGCCTTGCTAGTGAGGACTAGGTATAACCACTAGCTTGTAATTGATGAGACATGTTCAGAATTGGACAAATATGGAGAGACTGGTATTTTCTGCCCTTGGTGTAGAATTGTCTTGGAAGCCTTCACAAAATCTTAATTTTCAAGTACATCATAAGTCAATTTAAATTAGAAGATAGGCATTTTAAGTGATACCAAAATGGACTTAGCAGTGATAGTTTGTCATGTTCGCAAAGTGCAGTTCACACGTTTATATGGACAGAGCTTTGGCAACTAAATTGTACATTTTTTGATAGTTTTAACTCATAATAAATAGGTAACCTAATTTTGAGAGCATGTATGTCAGTTCACTTTAGCAGAGAGAAATCATTACTTTCATTCTATGTGGTAAAAATGCAACTCATCGTAAAGAGAAATTTTGGGGTTTTAAAATTATTTTGTTTGCAATGGTAAAATTAGAGTTCATGCTACGAAGGTAGGTTGTCCTAAAGACATAAACCAGCAAATTTCCACATGTCTTAGGAATTAAGATATGTTTTTTTCAGTTACAATTTGAATTTTAAAAACTCCTCATCCTTTGTCTAATTATTAACATGCCATAGCTTGTCATGACAGCTGCTGCAGCTGAGCCCTATCATTTGTATGGAGATGAAATTGTTTCTCAAAATAATATTGAAATAACATAATTAAACATGTTAGGCTTTCTTTTGCCATGACTTGACAGAGCTTATTATAGAGATTGGCATCTCCCTTTTAAGCCCCACAAGTTATTTAAATGCTTTATGCCTCAATTTTCTTAGCCACTAAATTACAATGATACATTTGTTCAGCCTAACTCAAGGATTGTCAGAAAGATTATATTAGATAATTGGTATTAAAATGCTTTGAAAACATTTTTAAAGTGCTATGCATAGTTATTTAAAATCCATAAGCAGATTATTATTATTTTTTTATTCTTTGAAAAGAAATAAGTATAATCATCCACATACGTGTCTGGAGTTAATATGTGGGTGTTCAGCTTTGTCAGCAGTTGCCCTTACACTTACCTCTGATTGTATAAAAAACTTAACATCCAAATCCATGGTACTTGGGGAGAAAGACACACTGAATGTGAGAAGGTGCTTATGGTGGAAAATGAATTTATCGTTGTGGTACTGTCTTTCATAAAGGATGTAACAGCATCTTTTGAGTACTGTGTTTTACAACTTAAAGGGCTGATCCAAGGCATTAATTGAATGTAATTGTAATCTTTTCAGCCTTCTAAGTGAGAAAATAAGTATTAAGATTGTCAACTATAGCATTTCCTTGGAATCCACCTTAAAACATTAGTGCTATGGTTATAAATGTATGTGTGAGTACTTCTCAGCCATTGCATTGTGGATGTGAGCCCTTGTGGACTGCTTCTGTGAGTCATTGACTCAGATATTGTTTATGTCTATTCATATAATAAATTAATTTTTCAATTTCTCCTTGCATTTCATTCCTTATGCAATCTATACATGACTTCTTTATTTTAAGAACTAAAGATAGAAATTATAAAATGGTTTTGTTGTAATTATAGTTTTGTATTTTTTTACAAAGCAACGTTTTACTTTTGCTGTAATAAAAATGTCATATTTTACAGATAAAATGTAGAACTCTGAAATACTGACACATTCTCTTATTTTGCACAATGCTGAGGTTCTCTCACGATTCACTTTAAAACTGCAATTAAAAATTACAAAGAAGAAAAGAAAAAAAATCAACCCACAAAGCTTCTAAAAAAGGAACCCGTGGGCACTTCCTCTTGTGGAATGTTTTAAAAGTTAGCCTGCTAAAGAAAACAGTCAACTTCATGTGAAGGTTTTGAGAAATATGTATCAGTTCATTTTATTTGGGTATTCAGTAATATCCTTGGTGATAATGCTGACTCCATGGCTTCTGACCCCAGAATTGACCCTGCTGCCACTAGTTGTAGCCCTGAGATTGATTTTCGTAGCCACAATTGTTTCCTCGTCCTCTGAAGTTCTGCTTATAGTTTCTTCTGTTAGGCATTCCATACAGTTTTGTAAACTCACCTGTAAATTAATTTTGTAAATGAGAATTTTGAGAATGATAGGTTTCAGCCTTGAAAGCCAGCAACAAGGCCCAGCAAGATAGATCAGCAGACTCAGCTCCTGCATTGGCAAGTGCAGGGGGTCAGGGTTTAATCCCCGGTCCTGAAAGCCCTGCCAGCCCCGCCCCTGGGGTACACTGAGCTGGCAACCTAGTCTGGGCATGGTGGCGCACGCCTGTAATCGCTGCACTGGGGAGGCTGAAAGCAGGAGGATCACTACGAGTCCAAGCTGTATGGTGAGACCCTGTACCAAATACATAAAATGGAAAAACAGCCAGCGGCAATCCACTAAAACTCCTCTGATTGTTTTATAAGTACTTACTCCATCTTTAACAACTGTACTGCTAGTTGATAAGACTCTTCTTAGTTTTCTGTAAATTTCTGTGTGTTACATATTACAAAGAGATGTGAAATATCTCTTCTAAACAAGCACAGTGATATGCTGATCCAGAGATACAAAACATTAAAAGGGTAGCTTCATATGAGCATAAACAAAAGTCTACTAATGATTAGAAATAAATACCACTCTTTAAAAGAAATCATTTCAGAACATAAAGTAGACATGGAGGATTTCAGTGATTTCTTTTGAAGGTGGCCTTGCATTTTGCAAAGACTTAGATATGTTTTTTTTTTTTTTTAGGGGTTTTTTTTGTTTTGTTTTTGAGGCAGGATCTTGGTGCAGTTTGGGCTGGGCTTGTGCTCACTTTTTTAGTCCCTAGGGTGGTCTGAACTCACAGAAATCCTCCTGTCTCAACCATCTGAGTTCTGGGATTACAGGGTGCACCACCACGTCCAATTCCAGGCTGGCACAGTGCTTTTTATAAAGCTTTATTGTACAATATTATACAAAACTGCACATTTTGAATGTGTCTCATTAGATGAACTTAGACCTATGAAAAATTCTGTGGTACTATCACCCCAATCAAGGCATTAGTCATATACTCCTCAAATTTCTTAAGTTTTCTTTTGCCCTCCTTTCTCTCTCTCCCTTTTTTCTTTTCTTTCTTTCTTTCTTTCTTTCTTTCTTTCTTTCTTTCTTTCTTTCTTTCTTTCCTTCCTTCCTTCCTTCCTTCCTTCCAACCATAAATTTGAAATGTTTATTGGAAAACTGTATAATTCTTTTTCATATCCACTGTAAGACCCAACTGTTATCTTTATATCTGAGCCCATAGTTCATTCTTCTCCCCATCCCACTGTTACTGCCCTGTCTTGCTGTGTTTGGGCCCAAGTTTGAAAAGATTATGAATATGGTGAGAGAAGTTGATTTTTTTCTGCTATGACCATATTTGTTTATGTACCCCACTACAGGAGACTATGTATTTTTTTAGAGAGAGAAACTGAGATATTCTCTCTATACTTTATTGTCTGGTACAGTGTTTGGCGTTTAGTACAATATCAGTAAGAACTTGTTTCTCTATATTTTAATAATTTTATTGAGAAGGAAGTAGCAATGAGATAGTTTCAAAACAGGTGAGTAGTACAGTTACAATAATTAATGCATTGCATATTGTTGTCTTAGTGGTTATTCATTGTACAAGATGCAGACATGATATCCTGTCCAAAAATACTTTTAGAACAAATTTCTATTCATTGCATTAAGAGAATGCAGCTATGTATCTATCCTAAATATTTTGAATATACAGATACAAAATGGTCATTCATTTGTATCCCCATTTGTGTTTATTTGTCAGAGAAGGGTATTCCATTGTCATTTAAATATTGTAGGCGTATGAATTCAGCAAAATATTCCAATAGTCCATAATAGTAGTGGGTTTTACATCAGACTGGCAATGCCAGAAGTTGTTGACTTGAGCCTTTTATAGCTCAGCATATTAATATGGCTTTACTTTTTATACTTTTTATGATTTTCTTCTGGATGGTTAAGATCAAGATGAAGCCAGACCTATATAACAAAAAATGTAACCTTTGTATCTGATAAGGTCAGTCAAATCCCCTCAGGACTTAACCTGAAACCCTGTACCGCACTTTGTAGATCCTTTGTCAGTGTCACCCATGAGGATGAGTCACAGCCATTGTTTGGCCAATTTTCTCTCTGTGAAAGCCTGAGAGAATGCTTTCTCTTCATGTGACTCTCCTTAGGCATACTCCACATCATCGATCACTTACCTCTGTGGCCCCATAATCTCCTTGATCAGAAAATTTGGGACACAGCTGAGTTACAGGATGTTACAGTACAGATTTTCCTACATCCTGAGTCCTCACTGACCTTGAAAGACTAGGGCCAAAATGTTGGCTGTCCTTGCAGCCCTTCTTTTTCTCTAATTTTGGCCTGCAAACTTAAGTTGTTAACCTTCCAGAGGAGAAGCTTA